TTAGACTGTCCACTTGGTGCGTCTTAATGGTATTTTTATTCTGCGCAGAATTATTTCTCCTGGAACACTCATCACACGACCGCTTTGTCTTTTCACTGTTACTGTTGTGTTTCAGTGTCGAGGTGCAAATCGCTCCCTCGTGTTAAATAAAGTCGATTCTTAGCAGAAAAGCCCATCTTGCTCCTGCTGCTGTAAAGGTTAGCGCCTGTGTTATGACTCACGGTCTTTGCTTGAACTCTGAAATTTCTTTTGGCTGAGTTTCAGTATTAGTAGTTTGTGTTCTGCTTTCGGCACAGGACGCGGCGGCAATGTGGATGACGAGCCGGGCTGGATTTTCAAAAGATTCCCTTTTTTTTTTTTTTTTTTTTTTTTTTTTTTTTTTTTTTTTTTTTTTTAAATTCAGTGCTGTGCAGAGTTTGTTTTGCGGCATTTGGTAGTTTCTGTAAAGCGATGTGAGGGAATAAATCGATGAAGACTATCCAGCATATTCTGTGGAGGAAGACGTGCGCGCCAACAGAGCTACAGGTGGAATGATTTTTTTAAATTTCTTTTTTTGTGCTCTTCAGATGACAGAACAGAGGAAGCAGAAGCAGCGGATTGGCCTGCTGGGACACCCTCAGCACATGAACGCCAACCCCCAGCAGCCTGCATAGGGGGTCGGGTGACGCGGGCCCCTGAAGCAGCTCACAGCAGCAGCCGTGTGGACGGACGGTGTGTGTGTGTGTGTGTGTGTGCGTGTGCGTTCCTCCCTCAGAGATTGCACATAATGTATACTGCACTGAGTGTAATTGGTAACGGTAGGGAAACACTGTAACATAAGTAGTCATAAGGCGATGTGTAGCTCTGCCCCACCTCGTTCGGTTCAGTCCGGTTTGGAATTGGTGCCAAATGTTTTCTACGTAAAAAAAAAAAAAAAAATTGGATTTCTCAACACATGGCCTTTACTGGTTGAACTTGAAACACGATGAAGCTGACTGGACAGGAGGAATTAGTCGCATTTGTTTTATTTGAATGTTTTTTATTTATATTTCTGGCATAACAAGCGGTATTAAATGTCTTATTTTTGTATGTTGTCGTGCAATATATTTACTTAAATATGCAACCTCATTGGTGTGTGGATTTAAGCTCCATCAGTCATGTCTTATTTAAAAGCGTGGGCCAATTTCTCTGTTTGTACTTTACTGTCTCCGGATGAAATAGGGAGTAGTTGGTTGTCTTTACTTACGCAAATATAGAGATAATATTTAATAAGCTGGCCTTCTCAATTTTACTTTTTTTTTAAATTTCTCCATAGAGATAGTATGTTGTGTGATGGCAATATATACAGATAGTTTTCTTTTACCTGTGCAAATCCAATGTCTCAGTGCTGACTTGTTTTATTATCAATCTGCTTTCTTATTTAATTGGGTTCTAAAGGACGTTTAGAATGTGTAATTGATTCAGTATCACTCATGCTATTACAATCTGCTCAGGAGTCTGTTATTGTAATAAACGTCATTAGCATAATTTCCTGTTTTGCAGCAAACATGTTCCATTTGTGCCTGTTTTCTTTTGTCTTTGTTTAAAGTCTGACAACTGTTTGCTGCTCGTGCAGAGGCACTAACTTTCATGTTCATTTTAACTGAAATGTTTTAGTTGCTTTTCATGCTTCTGTTACAATGTTCTCCTTTTTTCTTTTTTTTTTTTTAGGGACTACTATGTTTACATAAAGTTTGTTGCATATCTTTGCTTTTGTATAGAAAAATGAGTTGGAGAAAAACAACTGTTACCCATGAATGTTAAGATTAACTAAAAATCTAAGCACTGTCAATTTGTATATTAAAGTAGAATTATTTATTAAAATTGATGTAATTATCCTTTACTTCATGTTGTGTTTGTTTGTTGTTTAAGGTGATTTTTATAGGACGTTTATTGCCTCGGTCCGTTTATACACCCTCGTAGATTTTCACCCAGATCAGAATGTTTTAGTCACAACTATAAATGCCACCGGTGGACAATATACAATATGTTCTGCCAGTCAAATACAGGAATTTCAGCCAGCGGTTTCCACTTCAGGAAATAAAACTAGACCGTGTCCTGAATTAATCTGGTTGGCTTTCAGAGAAACTACCTCTGTCAACTGGAAACGTGTGTCAATGAAACCACCATATGTCTGCAGTGCAAGTGGAATGTGTGTAAGCAGGCGGATTTAAAATATCATATATCTATTAATGTATTAATTATGCAGAGTATTTATCAAGCTTTACTCGTCTTTAGATGAGCTGATGCTGATCTGCCTTACAGCTGGAGTCAAGTGTTTAGTGTTGAGTCAGACTAAAACTGAAGTAGCCGTACGCATATGCTGCTAATCGGCGGGTCGCCAAAGATCAGTTCATGACTTTATGACTTTCTTCAAACTTGCACATATCCTCCACGGGCTTACATTTTAAACAACACTGAGTCAGAACAAATCTGCTCATAACTATAATGTCACTCACAAACTTATTGCAGCTTGAAATGTAGAGTGAATCAGAGCAACAACGGAGCTTCACTCGTGAGTCGGGCTTCAGCAGAGAACATTGAATAGAACCAACGGTGTCCTCATTTGAATCTTTGATGTAGTCGATAAAAGGCCATTTTTCTTTACAGCAACAACATAAGTGAGTATGTAGTAGTGGAAAGTAACAATTTACTATATAGTACTTAAGTATACCTTGATTTGAGCTAGGCCTCCTTGTACTTGAGTATTTCCATTATCAGTACTTCATAACTCTACTCTGTGACATAAACATTGTTCCTCCACTGACGAGCCATTTTGCACTTTTAGGTTTTAGGAAGGCCTAGGCTACATTCAGTTGCTAATACACTTTGAATGCAGGACTTTTACTTTTATTGAAATTTATTTCATTAAAAAAAGATATATATATATATGTAATTTGTGTGTGTGGTATTATTACTTTTACTCATGACTTGAATACTTTGTCCACCACTCAATATTGGGGACAAAATCTTTTTAGATGCAGTGGCCTGATGATGAACGATGGCATGGAATAGCTCAGAAAACACCTGCAACAGTACCATAGTAATGTATGCAATATGTCAACATGTTACATTTACGTGTATCATTTCATATTTAAATAAAACCTGTAATGGTACTTATAGGTCTATGATGGAGAAAAAAAACACTGGAAGAGCAAGCCCCCCTGACGACATCGATATTTTTTTCTATTAGATAGATGGATAAGATGGTTATGGTACAGGTAAATTAAATAACAGAGTAACAATATTAGATATAAAAAATCACAATATATACAATGAAATAGAATATTAAATTAACTAACTAAACAGTAGTGCAAAGATTTAACCAAACAACAAAGAAACGGTAACAGTGTTATAGCTGTGTGATTGATTTGGCCAGATGTTATAGCTGTGTGATTGATTTGGCCAGATGTTATATTTGTGTGATTGATTTGGCCAGATGTTATAGTTGTGTGATTGATTTGGCCAGATGTTATAGTTGTGTGATTGATTTGGCCAGATGTTATATTTGTGTGATTGATTTGGCCAGATGTTATATTTGTGTGATTGATTTGGCCAGATGTTATAGCTGTGTGATTGATTTGGCCAGAACAACAAAAGCAGAAAGAAGAGTGAACTGTTTCATAATTTTCAAGATCTTATCAGGATTTCGATCAAATGTTGACTCCTTTTTCCGCTCCCTCGTTTCCTGCCTGGCGCTCAGTTGTTTTGCAGCCTGCTTCTATCTTTAGTCTGCTTCAGGACGTCGGAGGGAGGAGCCGAGCGACCAATCGGGAACCCTCGGCTTGTCTGCGCGCCTGACGTCACCGGCAGGGATCTGCTCCTCGGCTCTCTCACCGAACCATGAGGAGCTCAACGTGACAGCCCCGCTGGTGGGTAGAGGCAGGTTTTAATACTATCGGTATAAAAAGGAAAACAAAACGCTCCGCCACGGCGACAGTGTCCCGCTGCAGGTGCACGTGCCACACAGCGAGCGGGTACAGTGTGAAATTACACGGTGTCCTTCCTTGACGCGTGACACATGCCAGGCAAAAAAAAAAATATTATGAAAGTAGAAATGATTGCCTTGTTGGCCGCATTGAAACACTGACATTTATTATAGGACACCACGTATGTATGTATACTGTGTGTGTGTATATATATATATATATATATATATATATATATATATATATATATATATATATATACACAGTATAGCTTTGACACATTTTAATTATTGTAATTAGAATATACTACATATTATAATTAAAATAGTTCAAATGTGTCGACGCTTTTTTTTCAAAATGTGTAAACGCTATTTTAAGTATTTATAGCAGAGCAAATCATTGAAAATATTCTAAGATTATAATAATAATAATAATTATTATTATTATTGTTGTTGTTATTGTTGTTGTAGTTGTAGGCTATGGGCTGGTTTTTATCTTAATAAAACTAACATGGTGGGGAAACAAAGTGTGACCTGATCAGACTTTTTCGGATCTCGTATGGTAGGCTATTACTGTGTTGCTGTTAACATACAGGCCTTAAGCTAATGATATATGCTAAAAATATATATATATATATTACTTATATAAATATAAGTAATATGCACTTATATATGTGCACTATATATATATATATATATATATATATATATATATATATATTGAAAAAATATTGTCATAGGCTACGTCACTCTGGAAGCTACAGTGTTTTCAGTTATTAATATTAGAATGTAATAGAAAGGCTGCCATATTTGCAGTTTGCGGATTAATATTTCACCGCTTCTTGTCTGTCCACGGGGGAGCTGCCGCTCTACTTTCTCTCTTTGTAAACACGGTCAGCTCCGCGAACACGGTTTTGCCCCGAGAGCCGGAGGAGCATGGTGGTACACGGGACTCGGCCCCAGTGGAGGAGTACTACAGAAATGGGTTGTACTCAAGCAGCAGCAGCAGGGCGCGGGGGAGGGGAGGGGAGGGGGTGGTGTGTGTGTGTGTGTGTGCGTGCGTGCGTGCGCGTGTTGTGCGGGGAGGGTGAGGAGTTGAAAGCGCCGTCCAACACGTGAGGCTCATGTGACGGTGTCGAGTCTGTCTCCAGCCGAGAGACGTGCCTGCAGTCACAGGGTTTATTTAACACGTAGTCAAAAACCCACCCAGATCTCTCACACACTCAGCCGGGCGCGGATCCTCCCCAGACCTACTACCGAGTCCGGACCTTCAGGGTGACAACACTGCGCACTGCCCAAACTCCAGCTCACAGCGGGAACGCACACGCACACACTGGATAACAGGAGATATTATTGTTCTTTATTATTATTTTTTTTGTGTGTGTGTGATTTTATTTCTTCGGGTTTGAAGTGCGACCGCAGAGATACATTTGGAACGTTTTGAAGGTTTTTTTTCTCCAACTCGTTTCTTCGGGATTCACAGTTGAGTAACATGGAGAGGATTACCAGCGGGCAACCACCACCATCACTGGATATAGCTGACATGCAAGGGTAAAAGGAACATTTTCTATTGTATTCTGTTTCTATTATATTCTAACTACATGACGCGTTTTATACTGAAGCCTTACCAAACTGAAGTCTAACTAATTCCATCTTGTCTCCAAAGAATCGATTTCTCCATGTATGTGTACAAACCCAGGAGGGGCATGAAGCGCGGGGATGACAGCAAGGTAAATTCAAGTCCAAATTCTAATTCCTGGTTTCAACCGAGCAGCCTGGATTTCACTGACCATATGTTCTACCCCCTCCAGGAGACGTACAAGTTGCCACACCGACTGATCGAAAAGAAAAGACGCGACAGAATCAACGAATGCATTGCCCAGCTGAAGGATTTGTTGCCCGAGCACCTCAAGCTTACGGTGAGTCTTATCTTCTACGTATTTCATGTCTGCTTACAGACAGGGAATTGGACACGCCACATGGTTCTGCTGAGCAGTTTTGTTTGCTCCAGCCTTTTTTCTGGATTGAGTTTTCGGAGTCTTAAAGAATAAAAAAAGTTTTGCATTTTTAGAGTTATTTTTTTCCCCTTGTAATCTTGTAATTTTTTTTTAAAATTAAAAGGTAAATCTTTTTAAATTCTAACAAGGTTTTAGATTTTTTTTTAAAATTATTTGTCGAGAGTTCTTGTCTTTTTGTGTGCGGATTGCTTGACTCCCCGGGTGTTCGGTGATTTGTCCTCTGTTCAGCTGCAGAATGTGTTACATAAGAAAGATCAACATGCTTATCGAAGGTCTTCCTGTTTTAGACGCTGGGTCATTTGGAGAAAGCTGTGGTGCTGGAACTCACTCTCAAGCATGTGAAAGCCCTAAGTGGCATCCTGGAGCAGCAACAGCAGAAGATCATGGCGCTACAGAACGACCTGCAGATTGGTGAGTTTGATGTTGTGTGTGTGTGTGTGTGTGTGTGTGTCTGTGTGTGTGTGTGTGTGTGTGTGTAAAATTACAAACAGCTGTCGTCCACTGAGCGATCTGTTGCCTCTATCAGAGCTACTTCAAAGAAAATTGTGCTGTGAAGATTCATTTTAACCGTGTGGTTCTGATCGACCAGGTGACCATGGAGGTGAGAGCAGTGAGGAGATGTTCCGCTCCGGCTTTCACTTGTGTGCGAAGGAGGTCCTCCACTATCTGACCAGCCAAGAAAGCAGCAGGGACCTGACTCCCTCCCACGTCATCAGCCACATCCAAAAGGTCGCGGCTGAAGTCCTGCATCATCAGAGCAGCGCGGACGAGTCCGTCCCTCAAGCTTCGGAGAACCCGAAGAAGCAGCCCGCCGGAGAGCTCAAGAGGACGTCCGAGGGCTCGGCCAAGAACTGTGTCCCCGTCATTCAAAGGACTTACCCCCACGTGGCGGGGGAGCAGAGCGGCAGTGACACGGACACTGACAGCGGCTATGGGGGAGAGCATGAGAAAGCCCAGTGGTCAGAGAGCCACGCGAAGGAGGGGGAGCGCAGGTGCGCCGCGTCCGAGGCGACGGCCGGTGCCATCAAGCAGGAGGGCGGTGAGCCTCGGGCCAAGAAGTCGAAGTCTGACTCCTCAGAGGACGAGATTCTCTCCAGTCACGTGGCAGGAGGCCCTGGCAGCTACATGAGCTTCTCCCCCAACCAGGCCCCGTTTTGCCTCCCCTTCTACCTCCTCCCTCCCGCCGCTGCTGCGGCGGCGGCTGCGGCCTATCTGCCCATGCTGGACAAACGCTGGTACCACGGGGGCATGCCTGTTATGTACCCGGGCATGAGCGGCTCTGCAGCGAACGGGCCCCAGGAGACGTCTCCCTCATCTCTGGTGATGTCCCCGAGGGCAGGGTCTCCAGCATCCTACCAGAACCCCATGGACTCCCCTGCCCTGCACAAAGCTTTAAAGCAGGTTCCCCCGTTGAACCTGGAAACCAAAGACTGAGCAGATGTGTTTCTGTTGGAATCTTGCCCTCTGAATGTTGATGCGGTTAAAAAGAAAACAACAACCCCACAAACGCACTGGTATCCCTTCAAACCACAGCCGTTGTTTGGCCCATCAGAACATTGACCCTGGCAACGACCCCAAAAGGGGTCACCGTTGTCTATCATCGGCTCCTCACACACTGAAACCGGACTTTTAGGGGCGACCCGGAGTGCCCACACGAAGGCGCAGAGATCACCTGTCGCACGGCTCTGAAACACTGAAGAAGATCAGTTCAAAGACGATGAGCGCGCAAAGAGATCTAGAGCGGTGTTTTATTTTTGTTTGTTTGTCAGTGAGCTTCTCTGCACTCGGTGTTGAATGTCAGAGGTAAACACAGAATGTAAGGCACAGATAAGCCCCCCCCCCCCCAAAAAAAAATGATTTGGACCTACTGTTTTGCACACACACACCACTCTGTATTGAATGTAAAGATTGAACAAAAGCCCCTTGTAGATGCTGCTTGAATTATTCTTGACCTGCTGTGGATCTGTGAATGGAGGATCTACTTCAAGTGTTTCCTGTAGCTGAAACAAAACCATTGTTTAGACAAGAATGTTACCAAAAAAGAAAATGTTCACGAGAGAGCGTCACAAGAGGCACTTGCTCCCATGATCCCTCAATTACCTTGAGGCCAAATGGACAGCGCTCCCGGTGTTCTAATAATTCAGGGTGTTGTCACTGTACGAGGTGTGCCACTCACATCTATTTTTAAAAAAGTGTTGTGGCCGTGCGCGCTTTTTTTTTTTTTTTTAAACGATTTAATTTGTGACTCATGACTATTTGTGCATCTAGATGGAGTCCCCCGTGAAGTAATGTCTTGTAATATTTTTTTTTTTGCTTATACTACTCGTACATCTCTATTTTTGATACGTGACCCGCTGAGTGTATTCGCATCGCGACCAGGTAGATGAAGGTTGAGGCAGTCCTTTTGCTGTGTGCCAACACAAAGGTGTGCAGCATACAGCGTCATGCTCAACCAGATTTGCATCTCGTCCGCAAATTCCCAGTCAAGTTAAGGCCTGATCTTAGCTCATGCTGTTGCCTTTACTCGCGTAACGCAGACACACACACACACACACACACACACAAACCATGGCAGGTGTTTCAATGTATTTTTGCTTTAAATGTCGTGTCCGTGGCAAAGAGAGTGAATGTAAAGTTCAAAGAAAAACAATAGTTTTGTATAGAGAGAGGTACTTGGGATTTTTATTTTGAAATGTAACAAAAGGTTGTTTGTTGTACATATTTTGTATATAAAGTATTATTGATATATATATTAAAATATTAATAAAGCTTTTTTTTTTTCCTCCTCCCACCCCGTGGAATTTTGGTTTCAGTGCCTGACGGCTTGCACGTGTTGCAGCCAGACAACCTGACAGCTCCTCAGAACAACACACACTTACATAACACTTACATAACCCATAAAGCAGTGCTGCCTCTGTAAATCACGTTTTAGATTACGGGCTGTAAACATTTCAAATTCTAAACCCTTTCTAAGAAATTCAATTTGGAAAGTTGATTGTTTTTTGTTTACATTTTAAAATCTTAAGTCTTTAACAGTACAACGTTAAGCACATCACAATTTGGACTATGGGCTTTAGTTTGCTTTCTAAATACTGTCCTGAATATTATACACAAATAAAAACTTATAATGTAATCTACATTATTGATTTCTAAACAAGACATAAGGTTTTGGTTTTCTGCAAAAATGTAGACATTAAACTACACATTCACTGATTTATCTGTATATTAATTTGTGGTTTAGTCAATTCTCTCCCATACAGTTCATAAGGATTATGTATTGTATGGCAGCCGCTGTAACAATACTGAAAGCGTGCTGAGTAGGAGCAGAAAATGTGTCTGGCAACTTGACACCACAGAGCATAGAAATGGTATTTGAGGTTGTGGGAGAAAGGACTTTGATTTACTTTCAGATTTAATAACATGGAATACCAGTTCCCCCCCCCCCCCCCCGACCTTCTGCTGTGTTTGGGTGTCTGTTTCCTGGGCGGTAACACTGCTGTAGTTGTCGTAATAGTGACAATGAAAAGGCCGTTATCCTTTGCTCTCCACCCACCATGCCTCCCTGAGAAATGTGGAAATGGCTTTTTTTTTTTTCTTTTCTTGGAATCACAACAGTATTTTGTAATTTGGTCAGCAGACCAGTGAAGTGATTCCAACACAGGCCTGTTGACGGTGCCGGTGTGCTAAAAAATACAGTACCAGCGCCACCTCGTGGAATTAGTGCGTCACACCAAAGTATGAATCCTCCTTACATGCTGCCTTCAGGAACCCCAACTGAGACTACGTCAGTAACAATGTCATAGAAATATACAACTGTCGGTGTGAAACCCCTCATTACAATATCAAGCCTGTCATTTTATCCTGTGTGTTAACAAAGTGTAGAGTTTGAAGAGAAAATGAATCCGGAAAGTCGCTTTTAATGAAAATGTCTATATTCACAATGTGAATTATCTATTATCACCCAACACTGTAGTTCCTCTCAGCTTCTTTCAGTTCATTGTTTTGGTTTTAAGTACACTACCTCTTCGGCAGCAAAACGACAAATGTTGTCAGCCAGCTGGTGAACACAGTGGAGCATTTAGTATTTATTTTATATCATGAGCTGATTGAAACCTGACCAGAGTGGAAATGACCCAAATCAAAGCTAATGTTGCTTGTATAGTGAGCTAGATGTAAAAAAAAAAAAGTAGCAACTGTCTGCTAGCAAATCCCCCCTATCAACTTTTACAGTGTAATATGACAAACAAAATGACATTATGTTATGTTTACAACTTGTTCCTGCTGCCCCCAAGTGGCCAAATAAATTGCTATGGGTTTAGAACTACTGAACAGTATTTGACTTCATGTGATTAAACTCTATTCTTACCGTTGACCAAAAATAAACTAAGTTAAAATCCCACAGGAGCAAAAAAGATTTTGAATGAATCTCTTTATTCATATTGTTTTGTTATGTCATCTTCAATCGGTTCACCATCCTATCGAAATGAATTTACTGGAAGGCAATTGATGATTGAGCCGAGGCAGAATGGGCCCTCGCCGCCTGAGGTGGCAACCGCTGACGGCTACGGCAGAAAACACTGACACCAGTGTGAAAAAAAAAAGGTTGAACACGAGATAAAGACCGGCTTTCAAGAAACACATAAATGAATGACCTTGTTATTGAGATGCAAGCGGATAAATGTCTAACTTGAAAACGTGGTGTCACAAAGGACACGGTGGCCGTGGAGCTAAGTGAGTGCGATGATTCGGCCTCCGTGGCTGTTGTTGCAGGGAACAGAGTGGGCACTGTGAGGGAGGCATTGGTGGTGTGTGTGTGTGTGGGGGGGGGGGGCTTATCAAAGATCAGGATGACCTTAAAGAAAAGGTTGAACAGCATCCTTTCATGCAGCCACATGGAGACTGAGGTTAAGAGGCTTTCAGAAGAAGCTGTATCAAGTTGCACCTTGCAAAGACAATACGTTACTGGTGTTAGCTCATTTCAATTCTGATAACTCTGCTTGTCGCGCTGTTTTATTATTCATAAAAAAAGTGTGACTGCTCAGTTTCTAGTTCACACAATTGCAGATAGGACTATTTTATGTTGTCCTATATACGACACCAGAAGTTTAAACTCTAAACTTTAAACTGTCCATCCGTCCATTATCCTTTTTCCACTTGTTAACGGCTGGTTCTCATGGTTCCCTCTCCCCAGCAACACTTTACAGCTCTTCCTGGAGGACCCCGAGGCGTTGTCTGGCCAAATGAGGCCTCAGATAACACATTCCCATGCATTTCAATTTTCTGGTCACCAAAGACAAAATGATCAGTTCACATGACACTGTCAGCTGTGTGTTTGTGTGTGTGTGTGTGTGTGTGTGTGTGTGTGTGTGTGTACGTGTACTGTTGAGGAGGAGGAGCAGCTGGACACTAAGGAACTGGGTTAGATTTTCTGATTTGGGTAGCTTTTAAAAAAAAAAAATTGTTGTTTTTTTCGTTTAGTCTAATTAGTTGTTTGGTGTATTTATTAATTCATTTCTTTGCATAATTAGCATATACTTTCGTTTTGTCTATGCATTGGGTAACACTATGGGCACCTGCAGTTATGTTTATGAGTGGGCAGGTATAGGACCAGCATGCACCGGGGCCAGGGTAGGCTTTTGTTTTTTTAACATGAGCAGGAGAGGCAGCGATAGGCACAATTTGTTTGTTCTTTCGTTTGCTTGCTTGTTATTTGATAAATAAATCATAAGAAACACAGAAACTTTGCATGAACAATGCAACAATAATTTAGCAGGTTCAACTGCACTTTCATTCAAGTAGCTGGTGGTTTCCACAGTGCCCCGGTGGGTGCGGCAGGGCAAGTTCCCAGTAGGTGATCTACCAAGCAGGGAATAAAGGTCACCTGTCCATGTTTACACCAGCCTCATGCAGTCATAATATAAAATGTTTCCCTTTCTTACTACTACTAGAAGCTGGACACACACCACACCGCTCACACTCACCATTACAGGGCGCGTAGACATGAAAAGTGCATCACTTGGTCACAAAGACAACAATCCTGTTTGGCAGATTAGAGCCAACCAGCATTACTCCATTCCACTGGCAAGAACAATAAGGTTTCCAGTCGGATTTCTATTAGAATAAAAGTGTACTTTAGCCCAGTTACCTCTCACAGATGTTTCATTATTCATTATGCGCAATGTGTATTATACAATTATATTGCAATCTTCAGGTGTTATTGGTCCTTTTTGTTTTCATGTCTGTATGTGTGTGTTTGTGATCATCAGGCAGTGAACACTGGGGGCCCGAGTCCAAAGTATTCTACAATCAAATCATTATTCCAAAGAGCACAGTTTAAAATTCCCCTGTCCTTCATCCAGATATATATCCAATATTTGCTGTTTCATCACTGCTTAAAATATATAGGCCACGGCAAAACATAACCCACCAGAATGACACCACCGTGACTCATCAAATGTGACATGCAGAATACCAAAAAGTATCAATATGTTGACACCAAACCAAAGAGTTCGTCTGTCAACAGTTACCCTGATTTATTGTATGGACTTCCTGTTTGGAACGACTTATCAAGTTCCACAAGTGGAGCAAGAAAAGTACATCATCAGCTATTTAGTGAGGGGTAAGTGACTACATTTACTCGATGTCATGTACAGGTTTGAGATACTTGTACTCAACTGTTTTACCCGTCTTTTTACTCAACCAGTACATTTATTTAACAGCTACATTTATGTGTGACTTTTCACAGGAATATTTCACTATCAGTTCATGAAACATGTGGCATTTTTATAGATTTAACTCCCCAACATTAAATGAAGCAGTAAAAGTAGCTTTACCTCGACCAGCATTACAGTACTGCTCACATAATGCATTAATAACAAAGATGCAATGACATAACACTGACAGGGACCATTCTACATTAAGAGTAGTCTACTTTTGATACTTTGGGTACAACGTGTTGCTTTTTCGCTGTTCTTCTCAAGCATTTTTCTTCATTTATCTCATAATTCATTCTCATACTGATTACTGTCATTATAAAGCCAAAAGCCATTAGTTTGCGGAAGCTCGGTTTTTTATAACCTGTCTATTAACCAGCTCTTAATTTGAAAAACTCACATCGGAAGTCTGACAGGCACGTCTCCGGCGGCAGTGTCTCCGCCTGGCTCAGCCTGGCTCGGACTGGAACCAGACGCGATGATTATGATGCGGGCTGCGGTGCTGCTGCTCGGACTCGCGGTGGTCTCGTGCCGGGCACAGGTCGCCCCCCCCACAGTGAACATCAGCCTGGATGAAGATCCAGAGGTGCGATGGAACCCTCTGGTCAAAGTCTTTGACGTAGACTACCTGAGGAAAGCCGCCGCGGAGGTTATCGAGTAAGATAACTACTTTTTGTTTAATCTCTCGCAAGTAGGTTGTTTATTACGATGTAATGCTCAACGTGTATCACGTGTTGCAGAACCTTAGGGTTAGTTATGCGCCGAGTCACTCGCTACTAATTAGCAGCGAGTGACTCGGTGCATAATTAACGTATTGATGATTCACGAGGAGGCTGTTGAAATTAAGTTTGTCAGGATCAAATTATAAACATTGTTAGTTAACAGAGGAGTACTACGGAGCATTAGAGCCATTATAGGTCAATTTAAATAAATCTCTGAGATTAAAGTTGCAAAATTGCAAGCAAAAAATAACACATTTACAAAGTTATACATTTATGAGAAAAACAAACTGGTGTTGTGACACCAACCATCTGAATTGTGTTGAAGTAGGGTTATTATAAGGACGGCCTCTGAGCAGGGCTGAAGGTCCTGAAAGATAGATATTTTCTTTAATGTTCTTCATGTGTCCTTTTAAGGAACATAAATAAATACTAATATTGTAAAAGTTACAGGAAAGTAAAGTAAAGACGAACAACTTGTAGCTGTGACTTTACCAGAGACACCATAGGAAGGAGACAGAGTCCACCACTGCCACACCCCTTTTAGGAGACTAACTGCAGGTCCTGGGTCTATTTACTCTTTGGGAGAAGTTAACGGGAACATAAATTATGACCGATTCCTTCGCTCTATAGTCACCAAAGTACATATTGGACCCATTTTCACAAGCCACACATCGTCCGGACATTGTGACACTAAAAGAGTATTTTCTCAGCCTCAGCAACACTCTCTCGCCAGATCCGGCAACTAAAGTTTGCGAACGCCCTAGCTAACTGATTTTCGTAAAACTACTGGGTTAACCACGCCCAGTTAGGAGACAGGAAGTGTACACCATTTCAAACCATTGGTGAAGCTTGTAATGCCTAATGTTATGTTTTGTAATAGAGTATCTTTGGCATCACTCCAAACTCATTATTTGGCCCATAGAGCAGCCTCGATCTCGGGTTCATTCTCATGAACTGAGGGAGACAAATAACTCTGGATTCGGCTATTAGTGCATTTTACAACTTTTAGGACCTAGTGATTTATATAAGGACCCACAAATATTAGAAAATTATTCTGGTAGAAACATGCTAACATTATATTTTCTTTATATTCACTTAATATTGATTAAATTATGGCAGCCTTGACTCAGCAGTGACCTAACTTCTGCATTGTGTTATTGTGTGTTATTGTGTGTTATTGTGTTTATCTTCCAGTGCTGACATAAACATGTTTTCTTCTTTTTTTGTTGTTGTTAGCACTACAGTTCCGAAATGGCTTCATCATGCAGTTGCACCTTTGGTGAAGGACCTGGAAAAGTTCATTCCTCAGCCGTATGCGGGGGAGATCCGTGGCTTGGCCTCACACCTGGGAAGCATTTCAGATGTCATAATTCTCAACTTTGCCTATGAAATATCTGCGTATGTGTGATTTTAAACCCAATTACACCTTTATAATAGAAACGTGTGTACAATGCAGGGGTTTACAATGCCTTACAGGTACGCTGGATTAAACGCGAACGCCTTCTCATGCATGCGAACAACCTTTGTGCATTCCTAGATTTTGTACTAGCATCGTAGCTCAGGACAAAAATGGGCACGTGTACCACGGCAGGAACCTTGATTATCCACATCCTGTTCTGAGGAATCTGACTATGGATGTAATATTCCTCAAGAATGGAGAGGTACAGTATGCACACACACAGCACTTATAACTGTTGTACCTCCTGAAGTTATATTACAATTTTATTTTGTCATGATGAGGTGATACAATTCTGTATGTTGTTTTTTTTTGACACACCCAATTAGGTGGCGTACCGTGGGACTTCATTTGCTGGATACATTGGCCTGTGGACGGGACAGAGTCCTAACAAGTTTACCATCTCTGGCGACCAGAGAGGTAAGACCTCACTTCTTTGTCCAGAAATGTTGCAAAATTCAGATTTCATTGTTCCTTTTTGTTTTCATGTGTGCGTTTGTGATCATCAGGCAGTGAACACTGGTATAACTGGTGGAAGAATGTGGTGTCGGCTTTCATTTTCCGGAGATCCCCAGTCAGCTGGCTGGTGAGGGAGGTGAGTACAGTATGTTACCGAAGTAAGTGTGAGAAAGTTTACTGGATGAGGAACTGAAACTTTTACTATGGCTGCGTCTTCACTACTACGACTACTCACTATAGTAAGTTCGCCATTTTGTTGAGGACGGACGAGATGAGAAAGAAAAGCGCAATTGAAACAAATTCATGACTTGTTGTGTGAAAATAATTCCATGGCACAAACAGCCACAAGGTACTCTCTATTTATTTATTTGTGAAAATACACATATTGCCCCCACATTCACAATGGCAGTGCATACCACTTTGCTCCTTCCGTTTTTTACCTTTCACAATAAAAGCCCTAGACATACATTAAACGTTGCATCACTGCTATCCAACGGGAACTTAAATTCACTCAGAGCATTTTGATAAGTGGCAACTCAACAAAATAGCTTACAGTATGTATTTATTGCAAAAATGCATGTCAGTATTTATTATGGTTAAGCTACAATCCGACGTTGATCTGGCACGTTTTATTTGCTGACAGCAATGACGTTATTAACGGCGCAATAATAAGCACAATAATAATAATAACAAACCTTATTTATGAAGCATATTTCAAAACAAAGGTTACAAATGGCAGACAAACAAGGATAAAAACAATTTCAAATGGTTTAAAAGTTAAACAACATTGAGCAAAGAAGCAACAAATGAGAAAAAACTACAATAAGTATTATAAGATAATTAGAATAATCGTTCAAATAAAAGTTAAGAGAGTTTGTTTACAGATACAAGTGAAAAATTCAGGCCACAAAGCCTGTGAAAGCAAACTTATAAAAATAGGTTTTTAAGTGACGCGAGTAGTGTTGTTCTTTATTTTACCGATGTATATTGCTCACTATATAGTCCTCTACATAGAGCCTTATACATAGTGTGTAGGGAGTAGTGAATGAGTGAATGATTTTTGGACACAGTCTGGTTGTGTGTAACCTTTACAGACACTGGAGAAAGCAGAGGACTTTCTTGATGCCGTAATGCATCTCTCCAAGATTCCCCTCATCACCGGGGTGTATTTCATCGTGGGTGGAGTGCGAGCAAGAGAAGGGGTCGTCATCACCAGAGACCGAATGGGCCCCGCTGATATCTGGCCGCTGGAACCCCTGACTGGAAGGTAGGCAAGAATCTGTTGATTAGCAGTGTGTGTTCAGTGTGACTGCACAACCGAACCCGAAACATAAAAATGGTGCGTTCCCGTTTTAGATGGTACAGAGTGGAGACAAACTTTGACCACTGGCTCCCGCCACCAGCGAGGGATCACCGAAGGTGAGTCATTACGCACGATGAATACTTGCCCGATATCGTTGCTGTCGCTGCTATTATGCTCTTGTTATGTATTCATTTTGTAGAGACGCAGCCAACAAAGCACTAAATGCTACCGGCCAAGATCACATCAACATGGAGACCCTTTATCAGGCAAGTATGCACTAATACAGCGGTTCCCAAACTTTTTAGGCCACGCACCCCCTTCTACATCCCAACTGGGTTCACGCACCCCCAATCCCCCACACCTTAAAAAAAAAAAAATCAACAGAGCCTATTTATAGCCGCATAACAATCGGACCAATGAGAGAACAGTTTGCTCGCGCGTGGTGTTTGTTTACAAGATTTAGTCCGCTGTTAAATGTTGCAGTGTGAACACAAACCGAACAAAGGGGCAACTGCAACATTGTATCATATTAATCCCTGAATCGGAACAAAGCAAACGAACTACGGGTGTGAAAACGCCCTGAAACACTGCAACAACGTTTCAATACATTTCAGTTACACAAGGCGTCACTTTGAAAGAGCAATAAGGATGGCGAGGACACACGCACAGGCTCAGAGGCAGATTGCATCACATTTAATTCACAATTAACCATACATAGCGGTTACATTAATCTGAATCGAATTACAATAAAGTTACTCTCTCCAATCATACATTCCACCATCTCTTTGGCAGCTGGTAAGCACACGTCTTCGGCGATTGTGTGAGGTAGCCCCTTTCTTGCTATTCTGTAACTGACCAGAGATGAAGCCCGCAGTGCGTTTTTTGTAGACCCAACACATGAATGAGACTGCAGTTGTTTTTGGCTGTTTTGTAACTCCTCCAATTTTGATATAAAAAATGTAAGGGGCTTTTGACTTGCACTGGCATGCTTGGTGTACAGGTGGCGACGTAAATAAGAGGGCTTCAGACAGCTGTTAGCCAGAACCTCACTGCACACCACGCACTGTGGCTTTGGGCAATCTTGCCAATCCAAGTGAAGCCCAGACACAGATCATTTTCATCATATTTCCTCTTTTTTTTCCCAGTCTGATGCTCATCCTCGTTTCCTCTTTTTTTTCACCTTGACTCCGCAATGGGCCTATGTGCTCCCGATTTGTCTGTGCTATCCCTTCCTCCTTTTCGGTCTCCTCCGTCTCATCTTTCTCTGACTCCTGCTCGATTTCTTCTTCCGGTCTCTCCCCAACGCACCTCTCCGTTCCTCTCGCCTCCGATTCCTCTCTCTCTCTCTCTCTGTCCCTCTCCTCTTTTATGACTGATAGCTTCAGATGTCCCACCTGACAGTTTCCCCGATTTCAGCCAGTTTAGCATATTTGCATGAACGTTGCTGTTAGCTGACGTTATAGCTGCACAAGCTAGGCTAGCTAGTGTGTATGTAAAAGACAGTCTGGCGGCAGGAGCTGAAGTGCATTTATTTATTAAATTGTAAGTTTTTAAATTTAAATGTTACAAAGGGAATTTTTATAATTCATGTTTTTGTGAAAAATCCCACTTACATTTTTTAAAATTATATCTAATATCAATTATTACACCATTAGACCACCATTACATTTTTCCTCTCGCGCACCCCCTGGAGGCAGCACCACACTTTGGGAATCCCTGCACTAATACATCAATACTTCAGGGGACCAAAGTACACATGATGCTGGGAAATATCGCGTGCAGCACATTTTACAATCTTGTCTTTCCTTATAGGTTCTGTCGCTGTATCCGGTGTGTAATGGGTGAGGAGAACTTTTTCCGTCCATTACGCTCAAATGTTTTGTTTCAAGGAGTCACATGACTGTTCATGTTGCTGAGATGGGTTAGCTGTGTGCATACCACCAATAATGTCAATCGGCCTTTGTTTGACACCAGGCTTCAGCACATAGCAAGTACGATATAGAACAGCAACTGCCGAGTTCCTGTGAATACATTGAGGGTTTTATATTTTGGGCGCATTAATGATTATGACATGCCTATTTTTTACGGTTATATTTTCAAGGAAGCTTTACATAGCTTGTTGTTATAGTTTATACATTGCATGATATTTGATGGTATCTAATGTCTTGTATGTTGATAATCCCCAGAGGTACGGTTTACACAACAATAATGAGTGGAGCAGCCCCCGAGAAGTACAACACACTTATAAGGCCGCAGGTAATTTCATCTTTCACAACTACATCTTAAATGCATCTGTTTGTTTGTCTCACATATATTAATATTAAGCAATGAAGTGGTGATGTCTCACTGAAAATGAGGCCCTCTCTCACTCATCTCTTTCAAGGGCTGCTAAACTGACAAGCCTTGAGCGCTCGACACCGCACAGATTTTTACTGCAGTGTCCATCCAACATGGTCACCTGTAGATTCACGATCACGTGGAGATTGAATAATCAACGATTAGAAGGTCATTGGACTCAAGCATTGTGAGGGTGACAGTGCTTTTCTGTCGCTAATAAAAATTGCTCCGATCATTTTTGTCACCTTTTGTAACTGGAATTTATATGTCAAGCTTAATAAAAATGTTTACTTGATTGCTACCATCTGGAGTCAGCTGAAGAAGTGTTGAGTGACACAGACTTTCTTAATGACACTGACAAACGGCACGAGTTGGAATAAACAAGGATGGAAAGGCCTGTCTGGTACACCAGGACAGGCCTACAAGTACTATGGTAATTGAGCCTATTCGGGTCTCAGGTAAACCATTTCTCTGGTAAGCTTATTGGAGTTACTGACTGTTCTTTGTGGTTCACATTTTCCTCTTTGTGAAGGCCATTTGTTTTACTAATTCACTTGAGCGGGCTCATGGTCAAATTAGCCATGCAGATTATACAAGATTTGTTTTCACAAATAAGGAGCTCACGAGTAAGCTTAGCTAGCTTAAATAACCAAAACGATACTGCTGTTTATGCACAGATGCGTTTCCTAATAATGAAGTTACACCAATGGATAATACTTTCCAAATTGAAGCTGACATGGTGCACAATGAAAGCATCATTTTCATATTGGTTTTGGATGTAAAAGTATAGCTTTTGAATGTTAGCATACTAGATTGGGAAGTTGAAAGTAAAGTTACATTGCGCTGACTTCCCAAAGTAAAATGCGGAGTTCCAAAACCAAAAGCGCACTGCCACTTATACACACAATGTTTCCAATATATGACACTTACGGAGAATGGTTTCGAAACTAAATTTGGATATTGGTTGTGAAAGTTAGCATTGTAATTTGCTCAAAACAGCTCAAAATGTTCTTCGCCTCAACCAACTAACAGTAAAACCCTGGTTTTACATTAAAACACGAGTAATAATAATTGTAATTGTATAACATTTTTATCTGTATTGAGCACTTTGACTTTTATTGAAATACCTTTTACTTTAAGTTTTCATTGCAGGACTTTTACTTGTAACAGAGTATGTTTACAGTGTGGAATTAGTAAATGAACAATTACTAATCAGCAGTGGGTGTGGCACTTGGACATTGACTCTGGCAAAGCCCACCTTTGGATCCATTGTCCAATAGATTTGAAATCCTACTCAATCAATTATCCAATAAGAACACCTGTTCTACATTGACTATATAGGCCTTTTGTTTAGTCTTTGACCCGTTTGTGTGTTGTCCTGTGTTGAAGCCTTTGCTGTCCAGACACCTGATTGAGTTGCGAGCTACTCGGAGAACCCTGAAGGTTAGTAACCGTCTAAAAACATAAACGCGTCCTCTCTAAAGTAAAGTGACTGAATATCAGTCAACTTCCGCTTTCATTGCGCGCGCTCCCGTGAGGTGCATGAACTTCTCAGCAGGCACGCGTGCACCTTCCGTCCATGCGCGGGACCAGCAGCACTAGTTCAGTGTGATCACATGATATGACAAAGCAGCAAAGCTACTTCCTGTGTAGACTGCTGCTAGCTAGCCAGCCAGCCAAGCTCACGTCCAGACGACTACAGAAGCACTGCGACCACCTTGTCATCCAAGATGCTGGCCCTCATGAACAGGCTTCTGGACTGGTTCCGGTCCATCTTCTGGAAAGAGGAGATGGAGCTCACACTGGTGGGACTTCAGTACTCCGGAAAAACCACATTCGTCAATGTGATCGCAGTAAGTAAAGCTAAACAAGCAGTGTCAGTGTTGGGGCCCAGGCTCACGTTAGAGGTTTATCTTTTCATATGTTACGAGTAAAATATATTCGCTGCAACATTCACGTTATTGTTCCAAACATTGGGCACAGCTGGAGCGCTGGTGACAGTGACTAGCTGTTTGGCTGTAGCTAGAGTGACGAAGTTGTTGGTATGACTGTGCGCATACTTATGAAACCGGTCATGTGAACGGAGTTGTCGGAGCTTTGTTTAAAAAAAAAAAAAAAAAAAAAAAAGAAAAGCTGCCGGTGTGTCACAACATCGACATGTTGTTGCCACGAGCTAACTTTGTAAACACTCTTGTCATCTCGCGACCAAGGCCTGGAGCCATAATAGCTGTCAGCTAGTTATCTATGTTATTATGAACAGATTATAAATATGGCTTGATTAGATATATAGTATATGCGTGTAATATACGATTTTATGCCAAAATTTGCATAATTAAATGCGTTAATGTCATCGGGTCCTGTTTATTCTTCATCCCTTCCTCTGTTGTTAAGTTTACATTTATGGCACGTTGTCCTATAGCTAGCACTGTATTGGTTTTTTTTAAATGACGATTTCCCTCTTTGTTTGACCACTTTGTTTTCATGTCTAGCTCGCCACAACCTTTGGTGTGTATGTGGTGAAGGGTTAGATTCTGTAGTCCACTGTTGTTTACGTCCGTGTATCTAGGTGACAGATCACTCTGTAGTCTTAGGAGGTCCAGTTGTAGTTCACAGTACTGTCGGCTCCTCCTCTCCTGGATTCATCTCAAGACTACAATTTGTATTCTTCTGAATCTGTTGTGGTCATGTCTGGTGATTAGGTTAGAAAAACAAACAAAACTGCCCTCTCCTTCACTCTGTGGGACCTTTGGACTGGTGTATGAGCCATAGAGCCAAAGTTATTATTGAATTTCTGCATTTTTCTTATCAAAGCCGACCCCGTTGGCTTTACAGTAGAGCGACCCCACTTTTAGGATAAAATGCCTTGTACGGCACATTAAGCCTGTGGAATGTTAAGTTACAAAGCGCAGTTGAAGGCTGATGTATGCTGATGTGTACATGCCATCATCTTAACAGTGATTCGTGGAGTAAAAGGACAACAAGCAGCTGATTAGGTATTGTTTTAACCAAAATCATTCACTTCAGCTAAGCTTTTTCATGCGACTGCTGAATACGAATAAACTACACAGACGTAAATAAACGGGGACATGTTTTTATTTTGGTGATGTAGAGACACTGGCTTTGTACAGTGCGTAAGTAATGTGAATATTTGTAACCATTTCATCACCTCATATTTCACTTGCTAGTTGCAGTAATCACTAACGTGCGGCCCTTTGTGTCTCGTGCAGTCAGGCCAGTTCAGTGAGGACATGATTCCCACGGTCGGTTTCAACATGCGGAAGGTCACTAAAGGCAATGTGACAATAAAGGTAAGCTAATGAGCCGAAACATCCAGCTGGATGCATTCACCGTTTCTATTTAAATTCTGTTTTAAACCGGCTTTTGTCTCCCGTAAGACTGTATTTTTGATTCTGTTCTGTGCTTCCTTGCCTCAGATATGGGACATAGGGGGACAGCCTCGCTTCAGAAGCATGTGGGAGCGCTACTGTAGAGGAGTCAATGCTATTGTGTAAGTTTGGGGACACCACCACGTACGGCAGGTGGCCTTCGTGACCACACGTTTACTATTTGGCTTCCTGGGATCCTGAAAAACAGAACGACCATCACACACACACACTGATGCAATACTCTGCTCATTCAATATGTGTAATACGTATTTCATATTTGTGTCATTACAAACTTTGTCGTAAGAGGTTAAATATTTGGTTTTTGATTCAGTGAAACAGGTATTTTAGTGTTACCAAACTCTAAGTCTTTTTATTTTTCCCCCTTTGCAGTTACATGGTGGATGCAGCAGACCAAGAGAAGATAGAAGCTTCCAGAAATGAACTGCACAACCTGTTAGACAAACCACAGCTACAAGGAATTCCCGTAAGAGGAACACTTGTGGTCTTTAGCCCAAAAAAAACCTCATGATTTCTGCGTAGCGACTCTGATCACAAGCGGGGATTAAACTCATAAGTAACTGATGGGTTGCAGTGACGCAGGCTTGATGAAACACAAAGTGGTAATTTGAGCCCAGGCCTGGATTCTCTTTAATGAGTTTTCAATATCTGAGCTGACGGGCTAATTGATTCGACGGGCTTTGATGTGCTAAATGGATAGGTGCTGTAACCTGACGCCACACACGTTATTGTATCCTAACAGTAAGGATTCTGTGTGATCACACTGGGATGATGCTGATGCATTACTGTGCTGAGCCTTTTTTTTTTTTCTCTAACATTTCAGGTTCTAGTACTGGGCAACAAACGAGACCTACCCAACGCACTCGATGAGAAGCAGCTCATTGAAAAAATGTGAGGCACTCAAAACCTCAGTATGTTTGTTGATAATCCTGCACAAACGTCAGGACTTTGCTCAGATGTAAAGTATCCCAGTGTCATGATGACTGCACGGTGAATCGGTGTCGGGAGTATCCCGGTGGTGATCCAAAAGTTATGACATCGGGCATTTCCAATACATTGAATTATACACAGCATGACCAAAACTAACTATGGGAAATCTAAAATACTTAAATCATTTATTTTATGAAAAGCCTTCCCAGAAGAATGTTGGAAGCAACATATTAATGCCCATAGATCTGGAAAGAGACCGCAGACTTCTGGCCATAAAGTGAAGGTGAATCATTGTATCAACAGCTGTAATTTTACTCTAAATACAACTTAGGGTCAATTTTGGGCCGTTTAATGGATCAGTACAGGCTAAAATACACCCAATCAAATGCTAATCCTGTCTTTTGTGTGGTCTACTGCATTGCAAAACTGCTCTGTTTTAACTGCATTTCACTGCATGTGCTAGTAAAGTTTATCCACTTAAACATAAGACTCTAATGCGTACTTGGAGGTTTCATGTTTCCTTCTTTCCTTTTCCAGGAATCTATCCGGCATTCAGGACCGAGAGATCTGCTGCTATTCCGTCTCCTGCAAAGAGAAGAACAATATAGGCAAGGAGCAGATCACAGTTTAAATGATTCCACATACAAATGTTTAGTGATATGTGGGCCTGCTGAGCTCACAGAAATGACGTACTATCCCTCCCTCTGCAGATATCACGCTGCAGTGGCTCATCCAGCATTCAAAGTCACGGAGGAGCTGAAATTGAAGCCCTCCCTCGTCGCAGCTCTGGCCTCAGCCCCCCTAACGGTCATGGGTCCTCGACAGCCATCCTTTCCACTGCCTCTGTGAAAGTATTCCAGCTATCTGCTCACTACCGTCACCAACCTGCACCACCCAGTACACTACCATAGATGTGTAGCCCCCTGTACAGCACTACGCCACCCCCAGCTATCCGGAGTCTTGAAGAGTTGTTTCAGTACTTTGCTAAAAGGTGGAATTCATTCCCATCATGCCTTATCGCTGGTCACTATGAACATGATCTGTCTGAGTTTCTTTCTTTTCTTTAAATGGTTTCTGTTCCTTTTGACACAACAATCTAATGATGTTGCAGTGTGCCGTCCCCCAGCGACACCAGGACGGACCTCCTCCTAATCCCACATGTAGACATCCGTCCCGTTGGTGTTTACGAGGTTGCGATTGTAGTTTTTAACAGTTATTTGCCAAATGACGATGGTAGCTTGTGCTAAAACCGTAAATTCCCGATGAGATCTTTGCAATGTTGCCTGCCTTTTTATTTAGCTGGAAGTATCTATTTTATTATGTGACTTAAGTCAAAGTTTACACATAACGTAAAGATGAATAGCAGGGAAGAATGTGAGTGTTTGTTTTTGTCTGAGGCAAAATCCTAACATGGGTCAGCAGAGTCTAAAGTGCCTTTGACTAAGGGAGCGTTCCAACCAGTTATTGCCCAATGCCACTTCTAACCCACTATTACACAACACTTAGTCCAGACGCAGCAGACATCCCCTGATTACTCTTAACGCCACCCCCCCCTCCAACAATCTCATTTTATGTTTTGTAATCCCACAAATGCTTTGTGATGTCTGAGAAAAGACAGTACTGTACTAACAATGGAATGAAGTGGTGAATGAGAAAATGTTACAGTTGTGTTTTTTTCTTAGTTGATGGGTTATGTGAATGCGGTTTCACCTGTAGCCTGTGACACTTTAATGTAGCTCGAAACTCTTTCTTGCCGTTCTCAGGTTGTTGAGTGATTTTTAAGAATATTGTCTGAACACAGCGATGGTGTTCCCAAAGTGTCTTGTTAGATAATCCCTATTTTGTTCGGGTTGGATAACAGAAAGCCAGTGTTAGTCGTGATGACTGAGCAACACGGAGAACAGAAGACAATCCATTAGTTCAACGCGTCGCTTGATGTCATAAATGCATTGCCACTTGCCCACACACGCCCGTGTCTGAATCCTGATGTCTTTTTGTAGAAGCCATAGCAGCCGGAGGACGACGCAGTCTCCTCAAAAGGCGATTGACGTGTAATTTCCTTTCAGCGACGGGACTTATTCCTCACGGTGTCACTGTATATTAATCCGCCCCTTGCTTGGCCAGTGCATCTTGATCAATTTAAGCATTTTGGTTTTTTTTGTTTTCTGTGCCTGAGTGTTGCTGATAACTGCTACAATGCTCTATGTAGACCTACATGGCTTCTGCATTTTACTGTCATTTTTTCTACACACACACACACACACACAATGTTCTGCATCTGTCGGTGATCGTAGTAATCCTAAATGTCGATTGTTGGGACCACAGCAGCAGTGAGGGGCTTTAAAATGTGGGTAACTGTGGGTTATTTTGGGGGAAGCTTTTACCTGTGTAATGATAATATAGCCTATTTGCAATTTGTATGTGCATGTGCTGAACCTATTCACATTCAATTGCAGACTTTGTAAATAAGATTTTGCATTGTTATTCCAACAAATGCTTCTGTAGATGTCATGCATTAGCCCCCCCGATTGCTAATAAATTTGTTTTTATTTTTAAGGTTTTCAAGTGTGGCATCCAGTGGTCAATGTATTGTAGATAGTTCCCACTAGGTGGAAGCAGAGGACTTTGGAAGGATAATAAATGGTAAAGGATGGGAGCTTGAAAGTCTCTACAGACTGAAAACTCTTAACCTGAAGTTCTCTTTTGGTGCACAATAAACCTGCTTTTGCCCCCTTTTTCTTTTAATGCAGTGCTTCTTGTTGGGCAATGTTTTGGTGCAGGCCTGGCAAATGTCAGTGGTAAGAGTTTTAGAGGTGCACTGAGTGTGTCTGAGTGATTACAGCTTAGTTTTAACCTACTGCCTCACCAATTCTTGCCTTGAAAGTTCACAGCACCTTCATCCACAAAGTATTGTGAAAGGAGGCGCTCATGTGGCAGCCTAAATGTACCCACAGTTCACTCGATTTTATTATTCAGGCTTAACTTGGTGCCACCTTTGTGGATAGAGGTGGTTCTGTAATATCCATTAAGCAGCTATTGTTACTTACAGATCCCATGATGGATGATTAACACCTCAGTGTTTCTTGGCAGAAAATGATGCGTAGAAATCTAACACTGTGCTAAGCAGAATGTTAAGACGGGCGCGGGGAGTGTGTCACAAACTAGGGGGCAATAAAGCGAGCCGTGTTCTCACAGCTGGAGCTGGAGCGCCGAGCCGCCGGAGAGAGGAGGCCTGTGCTGTTAAAGCAAGAACACCTTAATTAATCTTATTTCTTAAACGCAGTTTTTTAATGAACAGCTGCTGCCATTCAGTGTACGCCAGGGCAGTAGTTTGAACGTGTGGACAGATCTAGGTGTTATCCGATGAATTCCATCAGTTGAGACCTGTGTGTGTGTGTGTGTGTGTGTGTGTCCGCATGGGAAGTTCATATTCGTATGCGTGTGGTTTACATTTGCAACGACCGCCAGGGATTAAGTGGTGGTTACAAACCTGCCACAAGGATTTATGTGAGGAGGTCACGGAGAAGACCCAAAGGCGTGACATACTATTAATGTAGTTCCACTCCATTACGAACCAATGGGCTCATTAGGTAATCCAACATGTTTTGCACCTACCACCTGTCACAACTTCCTAAATGTCCAAACGCGTTGGTCAGTCCCATGAATGACCAGTCATCACCAAAATTACAAGGGCTGCTCTAAATTTGAATTATAGAATATTTGTCCAGACATGATTCACTCCCACATAACTTTCTTAGATAATAAGGATGTAACTCAATTTTTAACAGGGGTCCCAGTTTGAGCTTTACTCTGATTTAATATTCAATGTTTTTTTTTTTTGTTTGTTTGACACCACAAGCATCTATTCAGCTTCCTGTCTGTAGAACGCCTACCTGTCTCATGCACATAAACGGTTCGTGATTGAAGCTGCTGTCGCTTACTTAGGCTGATTCACTCCCGTCTTTCCAGCAAACGGCCCTGGACAGTCTCACTCAACAGTCGGTTTTACGAAGCCTGTGCTTTACTTTTGCTCAATCATCTGACCGCGACAAGCGAACACACACCTAGTTTATGCAGCCTTATAATCATTTACTTTACACATCCTGTGCAGATGTGTCACCTTGTTATCCGTGTAAGTCACCGGGATGTTTTTTTTTACAATGAGAAAATGTTTGTCTGTCCAATCAAAGATTATATAATGTCGTATGTGTTACATGTGTGCATCTGGGTTTATTTAGCATGCACACTGGGCGCTTTAGTAACTATCGTGCTGTCTCTATCAAGGCTGAAGCATCCCCGTTTCCTTCCTCTGCCCTCTTATTCCCTCTGTCATTATAAACTGTTTTATATCTTCCAGGCAGGCCTGTGATGTTAGTCTACTTCCAGCATTTAAACTTTTAAGATCATAATGTTTATGATATACAGCATTTACAGGGCACCCACAGAGCATCTCACTAAACCCATCAAGCTGCCAACATTTGGTTCTCAAGGTGAAGGTCCTTTCATGTCTGATTTACAGCACCTGTATCAGGAGTTTTGAACAGCAAGATATTAAATCTAAAATTCAGCAGAGAATTACAAAGCAGATGCAGCCTGACTTGGTGGAATCCAAAATGAAGCGTGGGTGGAGCTCTGTAAAGCTCTATAATGTGTTCTCTGTGTTTTAATACATATGTGTGGCATGAAAACGGGCATTCATATTTGAGACAGGATTTCACATTGGCCCAGGCAGTCTGTTGCTTTCTTACCGTTGTTTGCCAATAAGTCGTCTTTGTTCTTGGGACAGCGATGACATCAGAGCACCACTGTCTTTAGCTGAGCTAACTGTGTGGTAATTTGTCCCGGGATCTTAAAGCCTCTGTTTTATGAGATGTAAATAAGTTGTTCTTAAACTATAGTTTGGGGATTAGAGGTTTGAAGCTTTAGCATTGACGTGCATCTGCAAGCACTTCATCCAGGTCCCAGTTTGGACCATAATTTGGCACTAATCACCATGTGTGGAATGTCACATGATTCATCCAGAGCTGCATGGCACACATCACCACCCCTTACTGCTCTGCACCCTGTAAAAGACAGATGGTGACAGGCACACCCACCCTGTAACAGCCCAGCTTAATAAGACTCCATAGACAAATACATTCCTCAACTTAGTTGGTTAACCCCGAGGTCCCCGACCATTTAGTGCGTTTCACTCAATGTGATTTTCAATTTGGCTGTTTTGATCATTTTTTTCCCCATCACATTCTGATGCCAATATCTTTACATTCGTGGACTTCCATTTAAAACGAGTAATTAACATTTTGCTGAAAGCAGCAGCAGATAATTAGCCGCCCTGCATCATAACTACTTTTTATATAGTAGACATTAAAGCTAGGGTAGGTCATTTTTAGAAACTTGCAAGAGTACGCTAGATTTAAAAAACATCTCAAAATTGTTTTTGAAGATTACCAACTCTACATTTCAATTGAGATTTCAGACACTTGCGAATCAACCTCCTTTTGCGTCATCACTGACAGCTGTTGAGTCCCCCAAGGGTAATTTTCTCATCTATAAAATGCGGAGCATTGCATTGTGGGATTTCTTCACAGAAAGTCCATGCCGTGGACCTTCTGGATTTGTTCATGGCACTATATGGTGTATACATTTTCTCACTCAGACTTCAGACATTGAAATGAAATGGCAGACAGTGAATATACTGCAAAATGTGATAAATAGGGAGTCATTTTGAACACCGCCTGAAATATTCATGGCGCCCAGAGGATGAATCCCAATGACATTGAGTAGGTTTTTTAGATGAGTTTTCCTCCAGAGCTGCCATGAGATTCACATTTGTGGTTTTGAGTAAAAAGTTTTGCCATTAAATTCAATCCACACATTTGGATTACTTTGGTGATCCACTGACTTTTCATCAAGACAAAGTCCAATACTTTGTTTATGCCCAAATGCCTTCATGCTGATACGCAAATGTTAGCCAACGCGCTAAACTAAGGTGTGAACATGGTAAAAATATCTGTAAAACATCACCATGTGGCTTAGTACAGCCACACATGTTTATAATGTAGGGTTTTGTTAGAATATAAAAAGATGAAAATATGATGATGGTAGGTGTTTTGATCAATCAAGTGAAACATCTTAAGGTGTTTGAAAAATACTCAAACTTAACCAACTATGTTGTTTAATACGTTCAATAGGCTTTGCTTTAGTCGAGTGGCTGCGAGCCATAATAGAAAACCACCGTTTGAGTGTCAAACGAGAAAGTTATTTTTTATTTGACGTAAACCATGACTTTCTCTTCTTTTTTTTTTTTGTGATTGTGGGAGTGCAGAAAAGCTGCTGAGACCTCCAAAATGCAATAAATCCATTTCCACTCAGTGCGAGTAATCTTTCAGGTCCATTCTGTTATCCGGCGTCCTCTCAGATAGCCGGCTCTCCTGTGAACGCTTTCATACTCTCACCTCCCTGCCTCGGCTCTGACACTCTCCTCTCCTCAGATTCCATTAAAAATCAGAACTTCAGCTCCTGGGGCTCTGATCAAATAGGGCGGCTAATGCATTTTTCCTGCGTTGTGATTTTTTATTTTTTTTCCTATGTACCTCATATTTACATATAGATTGAGTATTTATCATTCTGCATTTTAAGGCAGATTCACTGTAGTCCACTTTATTAAACCATGTTGGATTTATGTATATTTAATGAAAAGTTGATGTAGGAGTGTAATTCTTTGAACAAGAGAGTATACTTGGTATGTGGGTTGAATAGCAATGTCGGTGATGTGAACAACTCAACTTGTAAATCTTCAATTGTTGGTGTGGTTTGGTTAGTTGTCCTTTGCGCCTCTGCGCTCAGTTGATGTATTGTTCCACCAACATGCGATTAAGCATTTAAGTTTCAAACCTCGGTTTTTTTGTCCTCCTGTAAAAGCAGATGGAAGTGACATAGGTCATTAGCCACAACACAAGTCATACAAGCTGAAGCAGTTTTACACTGATCCATATCCCCTGAGGTGCCATGCCATCCCGCTTCCACTGGGATGTCAATCACATAGTCGAGAAAAATAATTACTATCATTAGCACAGTTCCACAGAAAGAAGGTTTGATATTTTGGGAAATATGCTTATTTCCTCTCTAGATTCAAGGATATTCATCGTAATTATGCAACACAGGGTTACACAATGAAATGCAATTGTAGCCGATTTGCTAAAAACACAACAAAACAAAAGCAGTAGTGCATTCTTGTAGTGCATTGTTTTTTATTTGCATCAAGAGGAATGTAAACAGCAGCAACAAAACAATGTTTAGGTCTCTGGGCGGGAAAATATCCGGCAGCTTAACATTTCAAATTTGACATCAGGGATGCATTGTCCAGCGACTTTGACTATTTCTGAGGACCAAGCATCGTTGATGTAAAGACAGAGTGCACCTCATCTCGTCCCACCGGAATCCTACGCCCTGTCAGGCTCTGCCTGATCCAGAATGCTACGATAGATCCAGATCTCTGTAGAGATGTGGGCATAATAGTCACTGATATGCTGTTGCTGGGTTAGCCTGTAGTCTTAATTCA